CTGTGTCTACATTCAAACGCGCATGGGTCAACAAAATCCCAGGTATGGTGCATATCCAAATCCTTTAGTGGGTCTCAAAGAGGCTCAAACATGGGGCCAAGGGGCCAAGCGGTGGCTCTTGGATCAACTGTCTTTGGGGGTCCCGCCAATGTTGCTGAAGGGGAGCCTTTTTATAACCATGAGGCACAGCCATTGGCATCAAAGGCCGACGAGATCGACAAAGCCGGTTGCGCTCCAAATCTTACCAAACCAGGTCATGGCATGATTTAAAGGAAACACAACTAGAGAGAACCTAGCCTGTCACGTTCACAGGTCTTTTCGTTGAATTCTGAAAGCATTTGGATTGATCCAAAACAAGACACATCTATAACAGAACGTCCAAGTCCTTTCATGGTGACTTGCCTGCAAAAAAACAATGGACAGTGACACAGACATATACAGACATATTGATATGTCCTCTTGACTTTTCTTGGTATACTATAGCGATAGTGCTAGCTAGTGCTGATCAGTCGTTCAAGCCTCGAGGCATGGTTGGCTCGAGCCCTCGTGTTGAAAATAGATGCGCCAACAAAACTTGTGACATCTCATTGCCACGCACTTCAAAACGATCAAAACCAAAGGGTCTTCGATTTTCTGACCAGTTGCCACCATGGTTAAAAGAGTGCTGCAGAAGGATGCAGATCGGCGTGTGAAGCGTGTGGTGAAAGCCCGGTTGCCCTTCCACCCCAACGTCGAGAAGCCAAGGGCCTTTTCGATGCGGGACCGCCAAAAGGCCTGGATCATCAGTGGGCTCCGCCATCTCAAGGCGCCAATGGTTTCTTGGCATGCCTTGGATGGCGGAACAAAGGCTTTTCAGCAAAGAAACTGAGTGTTGGACATCTTACGTAGGCGTGTTTTTCAATGGGCGAAACAACGCCAGAAGGTGCTTAACCAGGGGTGATCGACAATTGGGATATGTCCAGCATGGTCTTGCAGTATGTTTCAGTTCGTCCGTCAATAAAAAACATAGCTGTTCGCCACCGTCACCACGAGACCTATAGCGATATGCAGAGCAGGGTATAAGATACACGGAAGACTATACCTCCTCTGCCGAGGTGATTGCCACAATAGTGGCATTGGTCTTTGGAATTCCGGGCTTGGACTTCGAGCGCCCTATCGATCACTTCGAAACCTTTTCTGGGACGATGGCAGTGACTCGTGGGGAGTGGGAGGCGAGGGTGTGTTGATTAAACCATGTTAAACCAATGCGCAAGTCTCGAACTACAATCTGTTTGTTTTTCTATACCCAGAACCAACAACCCGCAACGGTTGACCTATAACTACCATAGGAGGGTCGTGCTGCTGTACCCTTCGACGTGGACTACTCGGCAGCTATGGACCTTCTTACTCCTGAAGGTTTCTCCAATGCCCTGTACCACATGGCAAACACGAACCCCGGTTCTGGAAGCCTCACAGCTCCAGTTTGCAGTACCTTTGTGATAGTGTTACTCGAATGGATGATTCATCTAATGCTTTCTCTTCATTGCTGTTTCGATTCAACCCACAAGAAAATTAAGTTCTTCATGCTTTTGGGACACTTGTGGTTACATATGAGCGGCCCTTCCTTGGCTCCCATGCTTCAATCAAGAGCTGCCAGCGTCTATAACCTGAGGAGCCGTGGAAGCACGCGTCGCAGCCCGAGAAATCCCCTTGGGAGGAAAGATTCGGAGGCTGTGAGAAAGGGCAACATCTTGGCCTGTCGAGCTTTCATTTTGTGCTTTATCGCTGCAGCAAAAGCAATTTGGTTTGTTCTGGAGCAGCCAGCGTCAAGTTGCATGGAACATCATCCACTGTTTCAGCACATGGCTCGACTCGTTCCTTTGTTCAAGTATTCTATGAGAATGGGGGACCATGGGGGTCCCACGCTCAAGCCAACACTCTTGTATTCGAGCTTCTTGGAAAGTTTGTAGCTTTTGATCGTTATTTGCATTGTTTCATATGCTCATATGTGCTCCCTATTATCTCGCCGGGATCTATACCATTCTGCAGAATGTAAACGAAGATGACTGTACAGGTTCTTGTGAGGTACATTCTAAAAAGCGTGCAACCATGTATATAGAAGGAAAGGGTGTGGCGAAAGCGTTCACAATATGTCGTTGAGGGTTCTCTCGGGCCAAGGCCACAGATGCATAGAGGGTTTGAATGCCTTCAAGACCACGCCACGGCTGCGCCCAAAAGAAGTCACCGTCCGCTATCTGAACAGCCAAGGGCAGCCAGCTTGGCACGGTGGCAAGGACATGAAGACTTCCCAAAACTACCCACGCCAGTCCCTTGGGTTTCTTTCATATGCCATATTTTGACATGTGTTGACACAGGTTCTCTCCAGCCAGTTTCCCTTCCTCCACAGTGTTTGATAAAACTAGAAGGGCTAAAGAAAGCTTTCTATCAAAGGTAATTTCCATGTCGGCTTTGCTGGCTGTGAAACCACAGTTCACTTCTCAAAAGGCTTCGATGTTATATCTAATGGTATTGTAGTGCATGAGTCTTCAGCTGGGGGTTTGAATTTGGCCATCCAGGTTTGGTGTTTCGCTTGCCAAGCTGCGCACTTTGCATAGCAAAGCCAACAAGCGGAAAGCCATCGCCTTTCTGCGAGCAGCAAAGAAAAGTGACAACAAACTGAACTGCAGTGCTAGGATGAACAAGGCCTGGACTGACCAGGCTGATCTGGGAAGTGTAATCCAGTTCTTGTCGCAGAGATGAGTCATAGATTCTCATCTATAGATGCATGCAAGTCCAGCTTTTGTGGGGCAAGCTCACGAGAGCCAAATTCGTTGTGGACCCATGGCTTTCGGGGCTTGGTGATACAACCGAGCTTTCCCATGACTGTCCACAATTCAAGCCTGGCCATTCTGACATGAAACCGCAAATTAGCAGAAAGTGACTTGACTTCAAATCCTCTGTGGAGCAAGAAGTTTCCCAACTGGGCCCTTATATTTCTTTCAAACCGAAGGAGCCGCGTACAATACATGTGGATGGGTCAAGCGTGCGCACGTGAATGTAGGGAAATGGGAGATGCCTATAGAATGTTTGTAAAGAGAACAAGGAGCATGATTGGAGCTCCGTCAAACAGAACGGTGCAAAGAGCTTTTGTTTCTTCATGAAAGCCCACATCCACCTTCCTTCCATGAAGGCTTGGCGACCGCGCTTTTGTTGATCCAAGCTTGACTCGCAGGAGGCCTGGAGTGCCAGTGGGTCAGCCGCAGTGGACCCATCAGTTTGCTTACTAAACTGAGTCTCCTATAGAAGATCGAGGCGAAGAGCCCAAGTCTGTTTAGTTCTCTTGTGAAAGCCACTGTCCGTCTCCCAAAGCTCGACCATGAAGGCTTGGCGACCGCGCAGTGGGTAACCCAAGCGACAAAGGAGGCCTGGCGGCCCAAGTCAGATTCAGTTGTGGGCTTGTCTCTTGGGAAGTGATAGATTTTGACCATGGACCTTCTCAGTGTGTTTGTGTGTGAGTGGGGTACCATGCCACAAATGACACGGTTCATTCATATGGGAACCATTTGCAGTTTCCTTGGCCGCTGAGGTGGGGATGCCTTCTTTCAGACTTGGGGAATACGGGACTGTAGGCTGGAAAGCTGTCCAGTCAACTTTGATTTCAGCCTGTTCAAGAACACATTTTGGAACAATAGATTTCAATAAAACACACATCAAAAACGTCGTGCGATTTGGTGAGAAATAGCTGCGATTTGGTGAGAATAGCTGCGATTTGTATATTCTAGTAAAACAACCACTGCATACATCCTTTTATGATGTACATTGTGTGCACTCATGAACCGAAAGTATAGTCTTCCTCTAAAGCTGCGATTTGTACGCATGTCGCTGAACTCGCAGCATGTCTTCCTGCAAGTGCTTTTTGTCTCAGAGTGACCTATAAAGCAGCAGCCATGCCTGAAGCACCCAGGGTTCGCATCCATGGCAAGGGTGGGCGTGGTGAGAGTGAACGGGGAAGGTCAAGGACAAAAAAGGAGAAGGATAGCAAGAGGGAGTCAAAGAAAAGCCATAAAGAGAAAAAGGAGAAAGAGGAAGGGCGCAAGAAGGTTAGCCCCAAGAATCCCAAGGAGATGTCTGGTTCCAAGAATATGAAGAATGAGAAGGACTCAGCGAGGGGCAAGGAAGAACCTACGAAAAGAAACAAGACGAGGCATGAGGCAGAAGCGAAGAAGGAAGCTGAAAAGGCAGAGACACCGCCAGCTAAGACAGAGAAGAAAAAGAAAGCAGCGCAGACGCCAGCAGAGAAGACGCCAACGGAGGAGAAGAGGGCGAAAGAAAAGACAAAGGAAAAGAAGAATGACAAGGAGCCGGAGAAGGAATGCAAGAAGCAGAAGAAGGCCAAGGACGACAAACATGATAAGACAAAAGAGCAGAAGAAAGAGAAGAAAGAGAAGAAAGAGAAGAACCATAAGAAACAGAAGAAAGAGAAGAAAGAGGAGAAAGAGGAGAAGAAGGAGAAACCAGATAAAAAAAAGGAGAAGAAAGAAAAGGAAACAAATGGCGAGGAGAGGGAAGACAGTTCTGCAAGGAAAAGTGCTTTGAGGCGACCGAGGGATAAGACTTCATGTGAGAAGGATGAAACGAGCAAGAAGCCCAAGGTGACTTTCAAGGACGATAAGGCAGCGGAAGAAGTGCCCAGGACACCGACTGCCAAGCAAAAAGCAGAGCAGAAGTTGTTGGAGCTGGCGACCATCTTAGAGTCTTCACTTGACAAGGATCACGACGACGATGATGATGATGACTTGTCAGAGATTTTGGGCGCAGGAAAGGAAGAAGAGGAGGATGAAGATGCCGATGAGCGAGAAGAAGACAGTGAGGAAGAAGATGAGGATCAGCAGGAAAATGAGGAGGGGGCAGAAGACAGTGATGAACAACAAGAAGAGGATGAAGAAGAAGAATACGAAGAGGGAAAGGAGGAGGAAGAGGATGGCCAGAGTTGCGACCAGGTCGACGAAGATGAGGAGGCCATGTCCGTGGAGGAAGATGATGAGGCGTCGACAGTTGACCCAGACTGCAGCGATGAAGAGGATGATGATGATGATGGAGAGTTTAGTGAGGAGGAAGGAAGTGGAGGCGAAGGTGATAGGAGCACTGCGCCGGCAGAGGAGTCGCATGCGCTGGTTCCAGTGGTCAACGAAGGGGCTGCCACAACGCTGGCACTAAAAAACAGTAGCTTTGATGCACGCAATTGTTTTGGGTGAACACACCGAACAGCTCTTCCTACTGCAATCGCTTGTGGTTGAACTCCACTGAATCTAGCTTAGTTGCCTTCACTATGCTTCGATCACTTTTGAGTGTACTCCATTGCGTCTACATAGTTCAATTTGTAAGCATGTAAAAAGACGCCTTCCCACAATGCAACATATGTATATATATATATGTATATACATATGATGTCATGAGCTCGTTGAAACTCTTCGATCACTAAGGCACTACACACAAGGCTCAGTGGGACAAATTCTGTCGGGAGGCATTGTCACGCTCTAAGTTTCCTGCAGAGCTGAGCGAATACTACAACACCAAGAAAACCGAGCTCTTCAACATATGGATGGATAGTGGAATGAATTGGAGCTCTTGCAAACTCGCAGTAGACCGACAAGTCTCCCAGCGCAACGTGGCCTCCAAAGGATGGCATGCTGTGCAAGGCAAGACTCTTCGCCAACAGCACCATGTCCTGTCGAGTAAGAGTCATTTTCTTTTGTGAGTAAAGCATGTTGTACATTGCGCAAAGCCACTGAAAACCATACCAAATCATAATGTCTAATGACAGTGTTAGGATGACGCTCACACACCATGTCGGGGGAAGTGTTTCACAAACTTGCTGATCTGGAATTCCCAGGTATACCAGTGAAAAGTTCGAGAAGCTGATTCAAGAGAGGCAGAAGCAGGGGTTGTGGTACGAGGATGACCTCTTCCCAGGTGACCTAGATGAAGCCTGGTTCTTTGTCAGGGTTGGTGAGAAAGTCAAGCAGGACAATGAAACGCTTGAGAAGCTAACCCTCACCGCCAAAGCCGATGTCAATGATGACATGCGAGCCGCTCTCACGGATGCTGCAGATGGTGTGCTCCGGCCTGGCGCTTTGCCATCGACGTCTGCCGTTGGGAAGGATGGCAACAAAGCTCTCCTGGATGCGCTTGGAAAGGCTGTCCAAGTTCCAAGTCGTCTTGTGTGTGTGTCTCGCATTTTTTGTGTTAAATGGATTCGCACAGATTTCCCATAATATCCAACACATCTAACTTAGTTATAGCAGTTAGCCATGCACATGAACCCCCTGACGTTCTGTATGTCGCAGTGTTCACCCAATCGCACCAGTCCACGCAGGTGGCTATCGCAAAGCCTAAAAGGTCAAAAGAACGTGATGGTCTAGCAGATCCAGTGAAGCCTCAGACCACCGAAGAAAAGCTGAGCAGTTACATGCAAGACTTGCTTGCCCATGCTGCTACTGCTAGAACGCAGTCCATCAAGCTCTCCACAGTGGGGTATGCCACGGAGCTGTCAGCCCAATTGTTGGACCATGCCAAAAAGCTAGAGGTTACGTTCAAGACAGGTCAGGACGCTTTGAAGATCAAAGACGAGAAGGAAATGACCGCTCTCATCAAGAAGGTCGATAAGCTCATTGCTTTTGGTGATCAAGCGAAGGCCAGCTACCGATCAAACCGATTCCAAACCAATTCAGTTTGTTCAATCTCTTGAGCTTGAGAACCAATTTGGCCCTACCTCCCAAAATGTCTCACTTGAGACACCCACAAACAGTCTCCAAAGATCTCCAAGTGTAGTGCTTGGCCTTTATGCCAAACACCTGCCGCCGGCCGATCGTTCTCGGTCCTTCTTTTGCAAGGCTGCTGCTGCTGCTTTCCTGCGACCGTCGAGCAAGGGGCGTGCCAAAGCGAAAGCGAAAGCGAATACGAAGACGACGAAGACGGAGAAGTCGAGCAAAGCTTCTGCTGCGTAGTATTTTGATTGGCTACAGAGATTGGCCTCTGTGTCACGAAGTGTAGGGTTTGAACAAGTGACAACACTTGTTGTGCAGAAGCTTGGATGTTCCCTTAGGGGCTTCCCAAACTGTAGCCATTGGAACTCTCATCGTGTACGGTGTAATATATCCATCTAATTATATATATATATCTCTCAATGGTGTTCACCTGTAACTCTCGTCATGTAAAGCCTCAATAGCCCGTGGGACTCCAGTTTCAACGCACGCAATCTAGTAGGAAGCAGGGGGGATCGAAAAACTGGCCGAAGCCTTTCAACATGTCGAAGATCTTTCATCTTTGATGTCTCCCTATTGCAACCCACGCCCATGCGCGGCCAGGCGCTGCAGCCTCGGTTTCGAGGACAGTCGGTGAAGTACATGAGGGCCTGTCACAGAAAGAGACTGCTGTCACTGGCTGTTCACTGAAATAAAGGTTCGAAGGTTCCTCCGCTGACATGATGGTGTTCATGATATGACCGCAGCCCGACCAATTGATGATGTGCTGACTAAAACTTCGAAGCATCTTGCAACACATGTGGCGCAGGAAGCGACGACGGCTTCCTCTTGAATCCTATGAGCAGTCTGCGACAGTGACAAAGCTGACAGACTTGATTGGGAGAGGGCAAGTAAGCATAGCAGCAGCTGCTGACATTGCAAGATGTGTGGTTAAAGATCCCACAGTTCCCGATCCTGCTGTTCCTAGATCTTAAACACTCCATGTTTGTTGACATGGTTTCCTTTTCCTTTCGTCTTTTTAGAGTGTTTCGGGATCCTCAAAATCAAAAGACTTTTCTAGGCCCCATATGGAAGTTCTTTAACCTTTGAGGTTAGAGCCTTCAGCTCCCTTGGCTGCGATGGCTTGCACCCGGGAAATTGCGAGAGGGATCTCCATAGATGGCTATGTGGCCTATATGACTTTGACCTAGAGACTTATGTGGTCAAGGTAGACTTGCAAGAGTTTTGATTGTGAATTGGTAAAGTTTTTATTTGTTTGCATGCATTTGGCTAGAGCTCTTCTTGGCACCCGGTGGATCTCTTGCTTTCTATGGCACGCAGCTCAAAATTGAGGATAGTGGTTGGTAAGGGCGCTTTTTGTTGTTGTGGGGTTGCAGCCAAAGGTGAATGGTGTCAAAGCGAAACCTGTCGATGTGACTCAGATTGGGATTTGTTGAAACATTTGTATTGTTTCAATGTTTGATGGCACAAATCGGAAATCGTCTTCGAAAATCATATCGGAAATCGTCTTCGACCGCCTAGCCTGTTGCCGCGATTGAGGTTCACATCCTCCTTCCCCACGAACTCCTGCACTGCCTGGCCAAAGTGCAGTGCAACTCGGTTTTCGATGCCATTATTTTGGGCCATTTGAACGCAGTGTCTCGAAGGAAGTTTTGGGAACATGTAAAAGGAGTGGATGCGTGGTGCTTGCATCCAATCTTTGATGACTACCAGCTGGACATGTCCACAGTTATCCCATTGTGTGTGCATGGCGACGGAGCTGAAATGAAACGCGATGATGAGTGCTTCGTGTGGAGTTTCTCGAGCTTTTGGGGTTCTGAGGGACAAGTGAAAGATGTTCTCATGTACAAGTATCCCTTTGCGATTATCTTGGAACGGCACATGAAAGCTCCAAATGTAGCCTGGCTATACAGGGTTCTTTCTTTCTGCTTTCCCCCTTTGGATTTGAGTTTCCCAGTCTGCAGCCTTATAAAAACAAAAGACTTGTGGCAACACACTGGGCCTGTCAGGTACGCAGCGCGGTGGAAAAGGTCATCGCTGAGGTGTTCAGTTGGAGCATGAAATGCTGTTCCAGCGGCATTGCCCCTTCGCGAGGGTTCTACAATGAGGAATTCCTGCCAAAGACCTCCAGGTTTGAAATGCGAGGGCAGCAGTTAGCTTTGGGATGGAAGCCACCCAAATGAACACGCTCGTATGACTTTTCTATGTTTGTTGAGTTTTCTATGCTCATGACTGAGGGTTGGGGAAGAGTCTTCTCTGTGTTTTTTGCCCATTGGTTCATGAGCTGAGGGCTGCCTACTTTTGTATGAAGGGCGATCTCAAAGCTAGGCACCAAATGAATGGTTTCCAGCGGTGGTATCAATGCTCAATGTCACTTGGTTCCCAATTGACTGGGTTTTGCAAACAAGGTTTATTTGTTCTTGTGGTTGATATTTTTAGCTGTGACTTAGGGGTGCAGTTGATGGTTGACGTGTCCAACATGCCACAGGCTTTGCGATAGTTGCCTCGCTTCTTGCGGTAAGCACTGCGAAGATCCAATGAACTACAGGAATTTCGGACAGGGGGCAGCCTGGCCGCTGACGTGTCTGTCTCACGAGGCTTACATGGCCTTAGAGCTAGTTCCCTCGCCGTGGACTGCCGTTCCAGGATTTCGCTTGGAAACCATTGCGTGGGACTTGCTCCACAATGTCTTCCTCGGCACAGGGAGGGACCTAGTGGCTAGTGCAATTCGAGTTTTGATCAGGGAGGGCATCTATGACCATGTTGGATCTTCTGAGCTGGATGTTATCCTCAGCGCAGTTCACGAGGAAATCCGCACGACATGCAAGCAGAACGGGTTCCTTTACCAAGAGTGTTTTCCCTTGGTTTGAATCTATATATACATATGGGGTGGTGTGCATTTTGCAACTTTATAGACTAAAGATTTAAAAGAAAGAACACACCAGTGTTTTTTTGCGTTGAGCCTTTGGGTTCCAATAGGTCATGAGGTTCCAAGCCATCGGACACCAAACCAGGTTCTATCTCCCACCGAAACCGGTTTTGAGCGAAGCCAACATGGGCGGTTCTGACTATGCAGAAATCGGTACACGATACAAGGCATCTCATGTCAAGTGCCTAATTTGGTGGGCTGCGCAGAAGACACGGCAGGCTGTGAGATGGGTGGCCCAAAACTTCTGACTGTTTAGTTGTGGTTGAATCTACGACCCCACGCCAAAAAAGGATTCAAATGATTTAAGTTTAATCTTGGCCCCCATGTAGGTTGCAGATGTTGCCCCTGACAACGTCCAACTTCAAGTTCTGGCTACGTGTTGCTGGGGTGTTCAAAGGTGCATCGAAATTTCCGACCACGCGGGCCTCATCCTGGATGTGATCGAAGCAAAAGAAGCTTCCGATGCCTTGCGGACGCACATTCGATGTTTCGCTTGGCTTTCGCTTCACTACCATGATCTGAAAACCAACCTCTTCAAGGTGAGGCCAAAGAGTCACTACATATGCCATATGGCAGATAGCTTAGTTTCCTCAAGGATGAACTTCAACTCGTTTCACACCTTCGACGAGGAGAGTTTTTTGGGAAAGATAAAAGCGATATGCCAAAAGACTCATGGTAGAACAATGACCCAGAGGGTCTTTCAGCGTTACAGGCTTTGCTTGGCTTTGTTCTTGCACCAAAGCAGGCAACTTGAAGCTCAGCTCGACTGAAAAAACAAGCCTCTGCTGCTCCACTGCCACATAGTCATGGCGTCGACCAGCCGATGCCAAGAAAGGATGTGAACATAAAAATTGTTGTACCCTAAAGGTCCTCAAGTTGCAATGCCACGTGTTTGGCAAAGATCGTGTATGGTATAGTCATGACTCATGACCAGCTATTACAAAAGCACTGGTGTTTCATGAAGGGTTCAAAGAAACATGTTGACCATGGTGTTACTTAAAGGCCTACATTTTCCATGTACCGTGCATCATGTACCTTCGCCCGAAAACCTTTGGTAGGTTTTCTTGCGGACTTCGCACGGCGGGTTCCAGATTCGGACGGCGGGTTCCAGAGCTGTGGTCTCAATGCTATTGGGTTTTTTCGTTTTCTATGAAGGAAACCCTTGTCGCGACTGTGCGTGGGAACATGTCTCTCACGATTTCTGTTTTAATCGTTTCATGGTTTTGAAGGAAACCGTCGAGAAGGCATGCCGTCACCCAGCATGCGTGGTCCATGCGTGCGTGTGGAAGCTGGGACCAAAAAACAGAACACCACCCGACGTCGAGGAAACCTATGTGTACATACTTTCATATCATATATATACATACATATATTTTTTTAAAAAATGGTGGGGGCGGAGGTGAGCATAGCGCTAGCGCGATTATCTGCGTGATTGCAAAGCATGCGTGTGCTCTTTGTCAGCGCATGTGTCCTGTCATACCTTTACTGCACAAGCAAGTGCAACCATCACCATCGCCATGCACACTTGCAGTCCTGCAGATGACCATGGTCACGCAGACATGGTAATATGTCCATGTATGCGACGCAAACGACAATTGTCGTGTATGCGACACAAACGACAACGTTCGTGAAAAACGGCAGCGTCGCTGCCGTTTGTGTAAAACGCTCTCCCTTGCACACCGTCGGATTCTCTAGGTAGCGAAATTGACGCGATCGAGGATAAGAAAACGGAAGAACTCACAGAGAAGAAGAAAGAGGAGTACTCCGGTCCCGATCACTACTCCGTTGGGGGGCCAGGTGATAACATAATTTACTTGAACAACGACGGCGAACACGTCAAGATCGCAACGGACGGTCGTCTATATAGAGTGGGATCGGATGGAAGGCGACTCTTCCACCTTCCACAACTCACCAAGACCCAAGGACTACCTTACACCTGAAGAATGGCAGAAGCTATCGGTGAAAGACCGAGCTATAGCCAAGAAGGCCGGGAAACATGTAGACAAGGTCGTGGATAGATTGTCGAAGAAAGCGAAAGGACTTGGGAGCAGTACGGATAAGAAGGAGGACGAGGAGCCTGATGAACTCTTGAAGGACCTGGAAGACGCCAAGAAGGGTGACGAAGGAGATAATGAAAAGAAGTCCAAGAAAGACAAGAAGGATAAGAAAACCAAGAAGGATAAGAAATCCAAGAAAGAAAAGAAGTCTAAGGGTAAGGATGAGAAGGATGGAGGTGGACCAAGCTTGGCTATGCCTACTACCTTTATGTGGTGGGACACTGATGATGATGATGACCCATGGTCACCTAAATCCTTTACATCCGAGTCCACGTGTGTCCCCAGTGATGAAGAATTCCTCACCGATTGGGACGAGAGTGCCATGTGGGAGGACAACGATGACAATCTTGCTATGGCGGCTTGGAAGACGGAGAACGTCTACAATCCACTGAACGGGCAGATATGTTGTTGCATCACTGGTGATCCCATTGACAACGATGTGGTTGATGAACCATTTCCGACGATGCCATGTGTAGTGCGTGATACGCAACATCGCCCAAAACTTATGGGCAATAGGTTGTTCAACGCTGTGGTATCAAGACCTGTGAGCCGTGCTGAGATCTTATCCAATAAGAAGGCAATGCAATCTATGTTGGATGAGTGGGGCGGACTCTGGGATGAGGAAACATTCGACGGGTCGTGGCTGAGAGAATATGATGAGATAGTGGCAACCTCCAAGAAGAAAGGGGAAGAAGTTCACTTAGCAAGAGTACATGGAATATGTGTGGAAAAGAACTACCAACTGCCTGACGATGACCCGAAGAGGAAGTTCAAAGGGCGAGGGGTTCTACTCGGAGATCAGGTGAAGAACCAGAACTTCGAGGCAGCATTGTTCCAAGACCTTGGAAACTCTCCAGCTACATTCGAAGCTGCTCGATGGGCCGATTTCTACGGTTGCCTGGAAGGTAATGATGTGCAGGTGGCAGACGCCATTAGAGCATATATCCAAGCATTATTGGGCGGTGTACCGTGTTGGGCTGAACTCCCGTGGGAAGCGTGGCCCAAGCACTTGCAAGAGGAGATCACCAGAAGGGGTCTCAAACGTCCTATGTGTCGTGTGAACAAAGCATTATACGGACATCCAGACTCTGGAACGATGTGGGAGCAACATTGCGACGAATCTGTACGTGCATTGGAGTTCAAACCCGTCGGACCAGAATGGCCGTCGATGTATTACCACGAAAAGCTAGACTTGTTGTTAGTGATATATGTGGACGACTTGAAGTTGGCAGGGCCCAAGGAGAACTTGAAGAAAGGTTGGGACCTACTCCGATCCAAGCTACGCATTGAACCGGAAACCGAGGTCGGATTGTATTTAGGATGTGTTTTGTCGAAAGGCGAAGATAAATTGGCCGATGGTTCCAAAGTCACTACAATGACATATGATATGAGCGCTCTGCTCAAAATGAGCGTGGTCAAGTACCTCGATATAGTAGGTAAGGACACAGTATTGAAGAAAGTTGCAACACCAATGTTACCGGATGTCACAAAGGATCATCCATCGAGAGCACCATGCAGTACCCAAAAGGGACTTGCTGTCACATGCACATGGTGTGGTACTTGTTTCTCGCCTGACCAGGCAGCTTCCAAGGCCAGGTCAACAGACGATGACGTCAAGTCTGATGCGAAGGAACAACCTCGTGGTACCCTAGCGCCTCATGCTGCTAGTCTCCTAATGAAACTGTTGTACGCTGCTAGAATAGCGCGTTTCGACCTGTTAAGGGCCATCAATGTGCTGGCTCGTAATGTGACAAAATGGACAGTTGCCGACGATGCTAAATTGCACCACCTGATGTGTTACGTGCATCATTCAGCCGATCAGAAAATGGTAGGTTGGGTCGGTGATTCCAAAGCAGACCTGTCGTTAGCCCTATTCGCAGATGCGGACTACGCAGGATGTGGTCAATCGTTGAAGTCGACTTCCGGTGCACACATGCATGTCCAAGGCAAACGAACTCGTTTCCCGTTGGCAGGAGGTAGCAAACGTCAAGGGTGCGTTAGCCACTCCACCCCGGAGGCTGAGATTGTAGCGGCGGATTACGCATTGAGGACACTTGGAATCCCAAGCATCAGTGCATGGGAGACTTTGATGAGGACGCCACCAAGAATAGTCTTTTATGACGATAATCAAGCGATGATCAATGTTATGAGGAGTGGGAGGAACCCCACGATGCGTCACATGGAGCGCACTCATGGTATTTCCATCACTTGGTTGTATGAGATGTTCAAGCGTGACTATCTGTTGCTCGTATATGAGGTTACTGCTCGTATGGCTGCCGATATCCACACTAAAGGGTTCGATGATGCCAACTCATGGAAACATGCGTGCATGCTGATCAATATACTGAGCGACGATGGTCTGCGCAGCCAAGCATTGCTCGACTTGATGAAGCCAACTCATGATGGGTTGTCTTACGCCAAGCAGCTCCAGAAAGACCGTCACAGTAAGGTGCCAACATATAAGGCTGTTGCCTGGCAACCGGGCGTCCCTTTTGCATCCAGGATTCTCTTTCTGGAGGGCTCCACTACCAGTTCTTTCATTTATTAAACAACTTATGCTCTGCTACCGCTACCATTGCTTTGGCCAACAACTTTTGCTTGGCCACCACTGCTTTTGTCAAAGCATCATCACTGAATGCGGAGGACTTAGACAGGCTACTGCTGTTGGCTAAAAACCCAACTGCCAGTGAATGGCGGTTGGGAGTGTGTCTGATGCGACCGTGGACAAAAAGTCGTAATAAGAGAAAAATGACTGTACTATGTTTAAACATGTCCAAGTGCAAGTGCAAGACCCTCAATGAAGGTTGTAGCAAAGCAAATCTTGCGTTCAGAAAAATGTGTGTTTTCCATTGATCAAACACCAACGTGATGGGCTGGGTCTGGGTCCTCTGGCAACCTCTACCTCTACTATAACTGAAGCTTTTGAAGTTAATACTTTACCTCTACTACACCTCTACCTCTACTATACCTTTACCTCTGCTATACGGTGCGATGTTCATTTTGAAGTTTTTTTGAACTGCAGGTGTGCTTACTACCTGCAACGTTTGCTTGTGTGTAGAGGGGCGGTTGCGAAGCATTTCCGTTCGCTGCCATGCCGTTGAACAACGTGCAAGAGTTGAGCGAGTGCTTGCCTGAGACTTTGGGCTTTCATTTCCGTTGCCATTTCCGTTGTTTCCGTTTTGCCTGCTCAGTGACGAGCAGCCCGGACGACGTGGTGAAGTCTCAATGCGTCCTGACCCAGTTTGGTTCAGCAAGGCTCGGCTTAAGCTTGGAATGGCCTTTAGTAAACGTTGGGCCGAATTGTCAGGCCACGTCAGACGCGCAAAAGATCGACAAGTTTCCAAAGGTCGGCAAGGCTTTCTTGGCCGCCTCTGGTCGGGTGGCAGTTCAGAAGTTCAGCCGCGTGTGCAAACCTCTGGGGCCGCCGCTGAGGATGAAGCTGGTTTTGGGGTGCAATTAGTAAAACGAATTGTCGGTGTCATGTGCCAAGTTGCACGTTCATTCAAATATATTTTAAGCGACCCAGGCAAGTTTGTGTCATCAGGTTCCTCCTCGGCCGAGCAAGAAAACCAGGGCTGCCAAGACCCGCCTGGTTTCCAAACCTGTCTTCATGAAGTCCTATGGCACAGTCCGCTCTGTCCTCAATTTGATGCAGTTTGTGAGTGGATGCAATAAGCGGGTTCGTTTCCTTAAGGTTGCTTTGGATCAACGAC